GTCTTCTTAGTTGTCATCTCTCGGTATTCTTAAGGATGTGAGATTTCATTCTTGTGATCTTTGGTCACGCTCCCGCACAGCACCCAATTGACCGTGTGAAATAAAGAAGACATTAGGGGAAAGTATTCAGTAAATTTCCTGCAGGAAGTTTATAACTAACAGCTGGCATGGTTTCAAACTAGTCATGTGAGGAAGGGCTGATAATCGATTTCGAATGTTTAATGTTCCATTATTAATTCTTGTGATCGCAAGGTAAAAGTTCGTAATTCCTTAACTGCACCTACCTACTTGAACTTGTACCCCGTGACCACAGAAATGTTCAGTAATCCGTTTATAAGTACCGAAAAGTGCATGCATACCCGGAAGATAAATTGTGTTCATCAACGTGACCAAGCAAAAGAAGAAATGAAAATTTACGGTACTGTCTTGCAGTCGTTTTTTGTTTTTTTTCTTCTTTCTTATTTTGCGGAGGTATTTTTGAGCGCTTAGCGGTTTCCTTCGAGACCAGTTTGCAGATGATGTAGAGGGGAACATTTAGATTTTCAAAGGAAGTTTGCATTGTTTTGTTCGCGGTGGCCGAACTTCTCTTGCGTCAGAGGTTTACGTTCGCATTGTCACTTATGTAAGGTGATGCGAATGTTGATAAAAAATATGCTGGGAATAAAAATATCAACGCAAATTTCATGCTCCGACGAATGTATGAACGAAGAAGTAATATTTAGGTTTCCGTGAAATTGCATTTCATTTCGGCCATGTTCATGCGCCAAACTGTCTCCCCATTCCCATTCCATGACGCTGACGCATTGTTCTCTGTACACATTTTTTCCCTTGTCTTATTGTGTTGTTCGTACACTTCCCCCGTCTGTCTTTGAATGTTGTTCCCCCAAGGCTCTTTTAATTTATTCTCACCGAGATGTTTCTCACCTTTAGATCTCTCGCACGTTTCTCACACACAATTTCTGTGCCTTTTCCGAATTCGTTGCCAAGGATACAATCTCGGTATCTGTGGTCGTTAATTTGTGATCTACATTTCGTAAGGGCGACGGTTTGAATACCGGAGTTGCCAACTCCTGTCCACAGGTTTAAACAACTACTCATTGCTATGTGCGTGAAGAAAGTGTTTGGAGGCTTAAAGTAGGAAAAATTGAGTTGCTGTATTCACACTTTACTGTTATTTCATAATTTGAATTACCACTAGGGCTCTGCAACGTGTATTACACGTCCGCTTTACTTTTGCAGACGGAGCACTGCGATCTGTTTACTATCTACGGAGCACTGCGATCTACTTACTAAAACTGACTTAACTGTAGATAAAATGTAATTTAGTAAATTAAAAGGATAGTCTGTTTGGCCCACCTAATTAAAAATTTGAAATAGACGTTTCCCAAGCGCTCTGAATGGCTCCTCGAGTGCGTACCGTTGGCGCCCAGGGCATCCCGTGAAGGAGGCAAGGCCCTTCTCCAGCCGGCACCTCGCGGCGGCCTTGGGCCTTTCCGTGCTTCCTGCCTCGAGGCGCCCGCAGCAACGTGTCGGGGGCCCTACGCGACCCCAGCCCTCCTCGCAGATGGCGGCGTGCTTTCTTTTATGTTCCTAGCGTCGCCGCGCCGCCCGCCGGTCCGACCGTCCAGCCAGCCCATGAGGCGGCGGCGGCAGCGGCTATTCCTTTCTTTTTCTCTCTCTCTCTCTTCTGAAAAAACGACGCATGCTGCGCCGCCCAGCGGGAAGCTGGCGTCCGGTGCTGTCTTTCTCGACAAATAGCATAATAAATCGCGTTTCCTCGCTTGTGAGGACAGGCGCGACCGATTTTAAGAATGTCTGCTCCTCGGGAAGAACAGGTGTCCTCTTTTGGGATGCAAACGGTAAAACCGTTTCTGGTATGCTTTTCGCTAATTTAGCATTTCGCTGGCTTGTGCTCTCTGCATTGCCCTCGGTGCAAACTCGGGTTGAAAGCCGAACAAATTTTCCTACTGGCGATTATTTATTTACTACCTAAATTTAATATTTTAAATTGAATATATTGTCGAAAATATTGTAATAATTCCAGTTTCATCTGAAGAGGTCAAATTCATTTTGATGAAATGTTAGCAAATATAAGATAACGATTTAATCTGAATGCGGAGAATTCGGTACTTCGATTCACATGATCGTTTTCATCCCTCTTTCACTTAATTTCGATTAGTCAGGCGCCATTACATGAACTCTTCGGCTACTTCGGCTGTGGTTAGGCGGAAGAGCAGGCCCTACGGCCTGAGCCTCGCCATTAATAAAGACATTATTATTATTATTATTATTATTATTATTATTATTATTATTATTATTATTATTATTATTACTACTTTACGAGTTCTATGTTAATTACCAAATGTCTCGATTTATCTCCCAAAAGCCTATCCGTCGACAGTCCTGTTATCAGAGGGTGAAACTAGAAAGAAGACCTAGAGCAAAATTCTTTACAGTTGAAATAGTGTTTTTGGTACTATTGATTGATGTTTATTTTACGTTAATAAGTTATATCAAAGCAGATTAGTTATGAAAAACCTTGACAATTTATCCACTTACGTCATGACATGGCTACCCTTCGCCGCGTCCATGTTAACAACATCCAGTTCATATTTACTTTACGAGGACAAGTTCACGAAAAGAACGAGCACCGTCCTCGTGTATTATGGAGGCCACACGGGAAGCCGAGGTTTTGAGTGCCCAAGTGCCGTAATTTCTCACAAAGTCTTCCCAAACAAAGCGTTCCCACATAATAGATCATCTTTATGTGTGAATGTAAACGTTCTCTTTATATGTGTGCGGCGCATTCTTTGGCGTACTATGCGCGTTTCTTTCGGGAGTCACCGCAAGCCGGGAAACCGACGACTTGAGAAGACCGCGCTGGCCATTGCTGCGGTTGCGGCAGCTATGGCAGCCATGACGGAGCTCCGTACTGTGATGGAACCGCCGCCGCCCACACCCAAAGAACCGGTGCCGGAAATGAACTCGCAGACTGCGCCGTCAGCGTGGCGGTCAATTAGACTCGAGCCGACGTAATTGCTGGAACTCCGTACTCTTTGGCGGATATGCTTTATGTCAGCGCTTCTTGATCTATTGTTTGTGAATTTCTGCGGTATCGAATAGCGATGACGATGTAATGAGAAATTTTTCAAGCGTTGTTTGTTTTTTTCCTCGCCACTGCATCACAGGAACATACGGAAAATAAATTTAAATGTAATTAACATTCGTGTGTCTTAGTACTTCATTTTACAGTTAATATATACAATAACTGTAAATTATTTTGTACCTTAGAGTTCATTAAAAATAAATTGTTTCTCATAAGCATTAACGAATAATTTGCCATCCTTAATCCCGATAGTAAAGATTTTATTTTTAAGTTTATACACTCTTCCTTTATTATTATTATTATTTTATATTATTATTATTTTATTATTATTATTTTATTACATTATTAATAAAGAAACGACTCATCGCGTGAAATGGCAATTTGAATTATTTTTTCTTAAATGTTGTAGGCCTCAGATGTCTGCAAAGGGAAGTGACGTAGCAGATTCGACATTGAACGTTTCGTTCCGGTATACTATGAATGACGCCTGGAAGTCGGCGCAATCAAGGTTCAAATCGAAAATGTTAATTTTTTTCTATGATTCATCATTTCGTCTACATTTCGGAGACGCTTCGGCAGGTGTGGAAAAATAGTAGATTCATTATATATCTGAGTTACATGAAGTACTCTAAAACAGTTTTTTTTTCTAAAAAAATATTTAAATCTCTGAAATATGTTATAATTATATACGAATTCATTGTTTATTTGCACAAAGTTAGATTGTATATAAAGAAGAAATTCTCTTAAAACATTGTGTATATTGCATTTACAATCGACCGTATGCAATGTTAATGGGTAGGGCTTCTAACCTAAACTTCTCCCCCACAACACCTGTGCAGGTGGGATTTTTTTTTTTTTTTATAAATTGGATACATTCACCTCTTGCCTTACTGCTTAAGCAGTTAGATGAGGTGCTATTCGTAACTGACTAAAGCTAACTTAGTCCAATTGTACATTTCCAATGCATGCAGTTTGGCCTACCTAACGTAAATATTTTCCCCTTAATAGTACGTAAAGTTCTTTCATTGTAAAGGTGTTGGATCTTTCTTTGGAATTTTCTTTTCTTTTTCCATTTACGCTTCATTCATACTTTGTTTACGTTATATACTTATCAATTCATTCAATCCCAGTCACTCTCACACCAATAAGATTTTTATGCGCATACATTTTTATGAGTTTTACTTGTAGTGTGCACATCCCTGTAAATGTTGCGCACATACATGTATGAATTATTAGAGAATTTTTGCGCGGCGAATCGTTTTGCAATCGACAGCAATATCAATCTTCTGTGTATGCGCAGTTAGAGTATCGCATCACGTTCGTGCGGATGTGCATGTTCAGAAGATGGACATTTGCAGTCGACTCCTGTACGATTTGCTGCGTAAAACCTCTGTGCACCCTCGAACGCTAAAGCACTATCGATCTATCGCAGCACAAGTTTCGCACAAGAAGTTTGTGCACCTGCGCCACGCTGATCGACTGGGGAGCGCAGGGATCGGTCTGCGTGGGACGGGGCGGGCACGGAGGCAGGGGGCTGTGCTGAGGGTGTAAGTGTGCAGCCACGCGATGCGGTGCGGGGCGAGGAGGGAAGGGGGGGGTGTCGGCGCCGGGGCCGGTGGTCGGAGGGCACTTCCGGGCATCGAATTTCCCGTCTGGGCACGTAGGCGCACTGCCGCCTGCGCCCGCGCCCGCGCCCGCGCCCGCGTCTGTCCTGCAATCGGGAAGATCCACGCGCGCACCCCTTCGTACGGGGGCGAACTACTCCGTCGTCTGCCCGCTTGTCCCCGCTCCACTCCGTAGAAGTCCGCCTCCTAGCCGCTTCCTGGCCACTCCGCGTACATTCAGAAGTGTAAGATAGAAGGAAGATACAGAGTAGCAGGGAAGGCAAGTGCGCGACTGAAAAGGAGTTCCCCGTTCTCTGTTTACTCCATTTGTCCGTTGGCGATTCGTCATTTTTCTCATAACGCCGTCTCATCTTTGACAGTTCAGAGAAAATTCTTCTTCTTCTTCTTCTTCTTCTTCTTCTTCTTCTTCTTCTTCTTCTTCTTCTTCTTCTTCTTCGTCGTCGTCGTCGTCGGTCTTTCGCCTGACCACTGAAATAGAACATTGATTTAATAGCATAAACCTGAAGTAAGCAAAGATATCGACGTAATTTTCCATTCCATCATCTAGATGCAGTGTATTGTAACTAAATGAAACTTCAAGTACTGCTCAGTTCGATTGGGCAACCTAGGAAAAATAATTTTATCAATGGTGTAATTTCTTACGTAGTGATGGTTACGTATGCCAGTCTGACTAGAGGAAAAGAAGACCGATATGGCAATATTTAACCAATTTTTACTTTTTAATATATATATTTTTCCATTCATAGATTGTATTTGGTTCTGTATTTAAATTAGTTTTCCATTGCTCAAATTATTGATGCGATGTCAGTATTATGTAGACGTCTGTGTAATGTTTCCATCATAATAAAATAAATTTATTTTTCGAAAGTTACTGCACAAGATATCAAGGTACCGACCAACACTATTTTTGACACCTCAAGCATTTCTTCCACGTTTTTCTTAAGTGCTTCTACTATACGACTACGCCATACATTATAAAAAAGCAGAAATATCGCTACGAAAACTTTTTTAATTCATTCACTTCCAAGAAAATGCCTAAGTTTTCTGCTTGAAATAATTATCGTTTATGGGATAAATATAGATAATTGTTTACCGTATTCTCAACGGGATACGTGCGAATTTGGTCTACATGCACTTGGTACGTATAACACCCACCCTTTAATATCTTTCAGTTCAACCGTCCTGAGTTCGCAACCCGGAACTACTACATCTATATCTGGAATTAACTCCTCGCTTTCTTCGATGACCGAGAACATAAATGTATTCATAGCGCCGCGAGCAGTGATGAAAGTTCTGCTTTGTCTACTCCTTGCTTTACGGGCAAAGGCTGAGATGTCTTTCTTCGGCTCTTACGTCTTTAATTACAACATTGTTTAGGAAGTGGTTATCCCTAGAGATGGATTACGTTATATATTTTGCAATTTCGATGCTATTGATTATATTTCGAAATGTAATTTAATGTATTCCTTTATTCGTGACTATCAGTAAAATGTTGATGAAAATAGCGTATGTATTTAAATTACTAACAAAAGTACGAATGTTGTCTTTAGACACATCTACTCTCGGAATGGTTTCATTGCATCTTCACACTTGCGTTCACAGGTATAAAGCAATATTAGTATTTTATAAAAATAGAGAATATGCAGGGCACGTTACTTTTCCGAACTATTACTGCGGGCTGTCACTTCGAATCTGCTTGGTGTGACCTCAAAAACTGGACGTTATCTCTTGGCCACGACGCCGAATCTCGCGTCTTTACCTCTCCGGCAACGTGCCGTCGCGCCAGTGAGGTCGCGAGGGCAGCTGGATCCGAGCGAAAGTGTATCTCCGGCGAGAACGATGACATTTCGTCAGGGCGCCGGCGAGCACAATGAAGTGCTTCAGCTCCGGGGGGGCCGGGCGCTCCGCGCCGTCACAAAGGACAGCTGTGGTAGTCCGACTACTTCTGGGGCGCTTCCGCGGCGTTGCCAAAATCGCGGATAATACCACCGCATTAAGCGGCGGCAAAGGCCGCGCCCCGGCCAGCGCAGGCGACGGACAGATCCGCGGCGCGTGCAGGGACGGAGCGAGCACCTCCGTCCTCCGGATCCCCCGTGCTTCCTCCGGCCACGGATTCGCGTGCGATTTACTATGGGTGGAACGGGTCGACGACGGTTTTTCAGGGGAATTTCCAATGTATTGGAATTGTTTAGACTACGTGAGTTGCTGTTTTCACAACGGATTGTGAAGTATTTATTGAGGTTAATATGCACTGCAACGGAGCCATGATTCGAAAAGTACCAATGTTGAGCCGCGAATATTGTTTTATGACTTTTGAAATAACTATTATTGACAGAAATCCAATAAAGTCTTTTTGGTAATACTTGTTCCGTAGTATACTAGTTGAACGTGTGGTTTCTTTAATTCAACCACTAGCAAAAAGTTGGAAACATTTTATCTCAAATGTTCTTATTTCGAGTTGTATTGCAGCTCTTCGACGATTCGGCGGACGAAGTTAGGTTTGTCCTTAGAAAGCCATCAATGCTGTTAAAACACGGAGCTAGAGAGGCAGAACATCAGAGAGAGAGAGACAATATTACTTTCCTATTTGTGTTAGGACACGAGCCGACTGACACTTCTATTATCTGTTACAATCTATATCGAATTCCTTAAAATCTATTTTTCACCTCGCGAATCATCATTGGAGATCATTTGACGAGTTGAGAAATAAATGAACTGGACAATATTCTCGACTCGTACTTTATTCTCGACTAAAATTGATTAAGTTTGTAAGTGTACATTTAAATATATTTATCTTTAAACAAGAAATGTTGCGGAAATTGAGAACACGCATGCCGAACTTTCCGTTCGTTGTTCAGTTTAAATGGCACGTATCTTTGTCTGCGGAAAGCCATTATTTGTTTCAAATTGTACATTTTCAAAGTACTTGTATGATGGGTGGGAAGTGTGACGTCATGGATACTCACAGCGACCACAGACACAGAGCTTTCATATAACAAATATATTTATTAACAAAAAACAAATATATACACTTAATAATCTACTTAAACCCTAGCTCTGATAGACATACTATCCCCTGATCGCTGGAGCGATCCAAAACCCGATTGAAGATGGGTTTGATCGTGGCATTCGGCACTCCTACTTTTGAAGCGCGCACAAAGCCTAGCTTCCGTGACCGGATGTCACGCTGGGACACAAAAGTCCGTTCTGGCGCACCAACGGCTGGTTTGCCTCGATCGCAGGAGCGATCTTATCCGATTGAGAAACGGCGTGAATCGTGGCACTCAACCACTCTTCACCTCGGAGCACGCACACAGCATCGCTCCCCCGGGACCGCAGTCACCCAAGGACATAAAGTCCGCAGGCTTCGTCAACTAATGACCCCAGCCTCGCGAGCCTGGCTCGCATATGCACCGTCTTGGCGCCAAGTTTTGTGCACACGCACGAGGTTCTCCCGCTGTCTCCAGAACCTGCCTACTGGCTCCGTACACTCTGTTATATAGGCGAGGCCCACGTGACCTCCTACGTCACGCCACCCCCTCGCTTGTTATAACAGTGAAAAGCTTCTATAAGCCGGAAGACACCCAAAGCCTTGTGTCTCCCGTCTCCGCGTTCTTCCCTTTACGGAAAAACCCTTCTTCCTGTGGCGAGACTAATCCGCAACCAAGCGTTCCCAAATAGATGCCATGAGGCACGCTGGCTAATACGTTACAGAAGCTTCATTGAAAGCATCTTCCTATAAATATGTATACGAACTAGTTCCGTTCCACTGCAACGTGTCAATTCCCTGTTCGGTAGCTTCAGTAAAGGTTCGACTTATATTCTATACTGAATTCCTTATATTATTTGAATGTGGATGACAAAAAGGTTTTTTTATTAATTAATAGGGAATCCTGGAAGAAACCTTCCGTGGACCTGAAGTCCATTTTTGTCCGAAGCCGATGTGAGTGTACGGATCCGCTACCTGCAAGCCGCAACCGCACGTAAAATAATCCCCGGAAGAGCGCGGGGTGGCCGCGGGGACCAACATCCTGGCGCTGAGCCACTTGGGGGTGCAAGCCTGCGCCGCGCAGACGCCGGGGAAACCTATTCTGAACGCCCATCAATTTTCTTGAACGCACTGGTAGAAGGCTTTTCACTTGAATGCTAGAACGAATCTTCCCGTCTCTGCATGCTTGATTTGTCAGTGGGTGTTGAATAAATGAAGAGTGTAGTGTTTTACGATATTCTTTTATTTTTAAATAAAAAGATAACAAAAAGATAAATAATTAATTTGGTAATATTTCATGAATATAAAATATCGCTTCATTTCCTACATAACCTCATAACTAACTTCAATATCTTATAACTATTGCATATTTAATCTTTTCGAATTCAATTTTATTGATATTTACATTGAAATGTTATTGCTAAATGAAATGTGTGTGTTATTTATTATGCGAATGGTCATTATTTGATGGGGGGCGTCATTATAAACGTCTGGTTTCCCTTATTACATTTTGCAATTATTTCGGATTGGGTTAATTAAGAAAGCATATAAATAATTACTGTTTACTGAAACTGTTTACGAAATTAATTTGACAGAGGCGTTAGAAAGATCTAGACCTTTTTTGCAGGCATTTCAGTTATATTAAGATGGATAGTGTACAACTTGATTTTTACTGAAGTGTGTGCGTGCCTGATGCTTCTAAAATATTCTTAATTCGCATGCTTTTACATAACTTGAACATCGTTCTATTTTTGTTTTCTAAAAAACTTCTATATAACAAAATTGTTCGCATCGTTTTGAGGTGGTAGAAAAAACATTCCAGTATAACATGTTTACTTCAAAATGAGGTGTCATTGACGAAACCTAATTTTGAAACGAAATTGTCCTTTTTAATTACGTAACTATTACATTACTTCACTTAATACTATAAATGGAATGGAAATCCAATGTGGTACTATCTAAATACATTTACATTACAAAAAATATAGGAGTATATAAGCTCGATTCGTACATGTCATGTCGGACTGGGTGGCAATGACTGCAGATCATTGCCATAGTGGACCTCGGATAAAGTTGAAGAGAGTAAGATGTTTTAATTTAATTCGTTTAAATTTTATTATATATATATATATATATATATATATATATATGCCGACCACTTGAATGTATGGGAGTTTCGATTCGTCAGCATACCAATATGAATATATACGAGCCCGAAATGGCAACTAGTCCCCAACCCTGCTGGCGCGGCGCACTGGAGAGCGCTTGGTGTCCCGTCGGCGCCGGAAGCCGTGCGCATGTGCAGCATGTTCGTCTTGTGCGCACGCTGGTGTGCGTCTACGCTGACCGGCGTTCTCTTTTAATTAGTAAACAGTTTTATGGACTGGACGGAGAGATGCAGATTGAAGGCAAGATAACGTCATTAGTGACCACAGTTTTGTCTTGCAGTAGCCGGGCTCGTATAAAAGCACATAAATCTAGTTGTAGTTGCAGAGGAAGTAGTAGCGTTTGCAGGGCAGTTTAGGCACGCAAGTAATGGTAAGTGTTGCACTAACCAGGATAATAACTGCTACCGGAGTCCACGGGGGTCGTAATGAGTTCTTAGATTGAAAACAAAATGTGGTTGTCGGTGAGATCATTGTTTTCATTATTGCTTATAATATTGTGTCGCCTGATTTTTATTTGAAATCTTCGAATACTGAACATAAATTGCATAGAAAATATTGTTTCTGTACAGAGGCAGTGTTAAAGAGAAGGACTGTTGCGTCTGAATCTTGCGATATGAATTAGAGGTCTTTCGATTTATCCTGAAAATTATTTTGTCAATTATTTCATGTCATGACGTCAACAATACCGCATCAGAAATCCCACAATATTAATTTGGGGTTCGAATTACTTAGGGGAAGTAAGTATGCCCTCCACCCTCTTTATTCTTTCTTTCAATACTGATACTGCGATGTACTCAGAAGAGGGAAGGCAGTGCAAGACAGTGCAACTCTTCTCGAAATGCGCTGAAGCTCATCTCGAACTATAAATATTATTTACCTGTTTATTAGATGTATGTTTTCAACTTACAAAGGAGGAACATTACTGAATGATTTTTTCACTCATATTTTAAAAAAATGATTAAGTTTGCGTACTATTCTATAAATTGAAGAAACTGCAAATCAACGGAAAAAAAATGTTTCTGGAAAGGGCGGTGCTAGCGCAGATGTCTGTGAGGAGATATTCACGTATCGTTCGGATGCCCTTACAAACGTGATATTAATTAATGTTGTTTGGAAATGATCCGACATCATTGATGGAAACGTTGCATATTTATGTAAAAATGTACTATAGCGTTGTATATTGTGTAACTTTTTTAAGGTGATATAATTTTAAAATAAGTTTGTGTGTGTGTTAGTAGAAATACGCTCTTGATAAATCTGAATATGTGTCTTAATAATTAATATGTGAAAGAAACTAACAATAATCGCACTCTTAACTGTTTACTGCAATTTTAGTTCTTCTCGCAAAAATACAAGGAGGAGAACGTGAGATGAAAACGTGAGCGTTGGAAATGACTGCTGGAATGCACGCCACAGTGTCAGTTGTGACTAACATCTACACGGGTTCCCTGACTGTAATTTCCCTTGTTGCTGTAACCGTAGACGTCTTAAGCCGTGAGAATCTATAACCCTTGTTTACTCGTTCTTTGGTTTGTGTTACTCAATCTACGATTATTGGACCGGTACTAAAGAGATGTGCCCGGGGAGGGAGCTATCATTTTCGGCGGGAGTTAATTGGTGTTCTTGTTGGTCTTGCCGAAAAGACGTCAGCAATTTTTGTTGTTTCAATTTTTGACCTCCACCCCGAAGTGAATGTGTTCAAAATATTAATTCCCATATGAGTGACGCCCCTATTCATGCTCATGCATTCCTTTTTTAAAACGCATGCAAATATGAAATATAATCAATAAACTAAGTTTTTTAAACTGCGAAAGGGTGCAATATCAAGGTACTTTTGTGAATTGTAGGGAAATTGCAACAAATAACGCAAATTGATGCCCGTCACGTTTGTTGTTACAGCAACTCATGGCCGCCGTCTTGCGCTAACCATAGAAATTCCGCATTTTCTGCGAGTTAGAGAAATATTAAAATTTTGATCTAAATGTTTTAAATACCTTTATTGGAGGATATCGGAAGTTATATAGGACGTTGCCTGACATCCAACAACTCCAACTGTAATTGTGGTTGTCTTTTGAGACGACCGCTTGTCTTTCCCTTTCACAACTCTTGCGAACTAATATTTAGATACTTTTTTTGGTAGAGGGGTAAGGTGGAGACGGCGTTGATAATTCTATTATTCGAAGGTCATTCGGAACACGAATCGGACTTGCGTCTCCTGGATGAGCTCACTTACTTTCACCAGTAAGCTTCTCAGCAGGATGATTACAGGACTTCATTGGAAGACATTTACTGAACGAGATCACACTTCCGACGTATTTGCATTTCGTAGATAACTGCAAGAATTCATTGAGTATTATCAGATTTTGGTGTAAAAGAGGGTTCCCCTGCTCCCGCGCCTGCGGGACCTGTACGGAAACACGCGCCAGGGACTCCACCCACAGGACGAAGCAGGATTTTTTAACTTCTTAAATTTTTTTTTTTTTTTCAAAATTACAAAAAAAAAAAAAATCCCATATTAATTAAGAATGTATACTATGTTTTTCAATAGTGGGTATTTATTAGGGGGGAAGCATAGGTTTTGGTGATGCCCTTAAACATACTTTTATCCCTCACTGAAACCACTCCATAGGACCTCTTGAAGACGCGCGAAAACCAATGTTGGTGACGGCGGGCAAAAATGGTGGAGCGAAAGGAAGGAGGGCCCAATTCGTGAGGCGACGGCCAAGCGCGGGCGGATTAGTGTGCGGACGCGGGAAGTGCGGCTCTTTTCACATGGGCCAGTGGGGAGGCGGGCGGCGGCGGCATGCGCACTTGCACGATGCCGGCGATGCGTTCCCTCTCCACACTCTGCTCTGCCGCCGCCGCCCGCTCCGCCCGTCCGCCGACCCGCCTGCACCGTCCCGCCCGCCTCCACGCGTCGCCGCCCCGCCGCCGCTACCGCCCGCGCCGCCCCGCCCCGCCCTGCCCCGCCCGCTCCGCCCCGCCCGCTCCCGCGCACCGCCGCCGTCCCGCCCGCTCGCCCGCCCCGCCCCGCCGCTCGCCCGCCCCGCCGCCGCCCCG